CGTGGCACTTTCCCCTCGTGGCACTTTCCCCTCGTGGCACTTTCCTCTTGTGGCATTTTCCCCTCGTGGCACCCTTCAGGAATGCCATACGTGTGGGTACTGTGGACCTATGTGGACGTAAGACTAAACATACGCACATGGGGTCGTACATAGACATGCATGGGTGGACACGAACACGGTTATAAAAGCATGCGTACTCGTGCGTATGCACAGGCATACAGATACACGGATGTACACGTATACAATGAGAAAGAGATAGGCAGACTGACAGACAGACAGAGATATATATATATGGATAGAGAGAGAAATAAATAGATAGATAGATAGAGAGAGAAAGAAATAGATAGATAGATAGACAAACATACATACATCTATTCCCCCCACCCACATACGACACGTACACACACACACACACACACACACACACACACACACACACACACACACACACACACACACACACACACACACACACACACACACACATACACACATACACACACACACACACGTCTAAACACAGCCGTCTTTGCTAATGCGATCATAATGACGTCATCTGTTTACATTTGAGCAAGGATATTTATCTTCGTTCTTTTCTCTTCCAGTTTCTAATTTCTACTCTTTCTCTTCTTTCACTCTTTCGTAAAATTTGGTGATAATTGTCCGGAAAAAAATAGAAGCAGCGATGTACGGAGACATAGAGATAGAAGTTAAGTTATATTCAGAGAGGAGTAAATAGATGAATAAGTAAATAAGAAAATAAAGTGATAGGAAGAGGAAGATACATAGATAAGAAGATGAAATGAGACAAAAAAAGAGAGAAAAGCTTAATCTATATATGATATACGATAGATTAAGAGACAGACAGATTAATGAATAAGCAAATAGAAATTGAAGATAGTAAGAGACACTGAGAGTTAATTAAAATGATAAAGCAATATATGGGAAATTTCTGTTTTAAAATCGACTATTTTTTTTTTCTCTCTCTCCTCGCTTTCTGTTTTAGTTTGGAATTTCTTTCATGACATAATCTACATAGTTTAAAGAGTTTCATCCATTAATATTCAAAGTCATTCACCTGTTTCATTGTCTTTATTTGTTCTTAACCTTTTCTTAGCGATGGCACCCTTAACGCGCATAGTCCCTTTTGTGGCACTCTCTTCTCTACCCTTCCCCCCTCCCCCCTTCCACCTCCCCCCCCCACCCCATCATTACACGAATCTATTTTTTATAACAAAGTACATCTTCCTCTGTTCCACGAATTACTGGAACCTGATACAAAATAAACACTCCTTACTCGCTCAAAGGACAGACATATACCTTACCTGAAACTCGAGTGCGTCGTAGAATATGGATACGCAGTTCATTTTACTACGTAATCTTGTGGCTTCTCTAGGTACTGCCTGCGGTTTTCTTTCTTTTCTTTTTTATTTATTTATTTATTTTTTTTTTTTTTTACAATATTCTCTCTTTCTCTCTCTCTCTCTCTCTCTCTCTCTCTCTCTCTCTTCCTCTCTCTCTCTTTCTCTCTCTCTCTCTCTCTTTCTATCTGTCTCTCTCTTCTTTTCTTCTTTCTGTTTCTCATACGTAACGGAAGGAAAAAAAGCTTCAGTTTTTGTCACTTTTCCTTTGTTTTATTCTATCCATTTTTTTTAAATTGGACTATTTGCTCTTTTTAACCCATTCACGCCGGGTGTCACGTATATGGGACGGGCCCACTGTGAGTTTACTTGTTTGATTGTTTTCACACATAGATGGCTGCACTTGTACTTGTACTGCCTGTCTCGCCTGTTTACCCTTTTCTTTAATTTACGAAAATATTATACGTTATCTTATTTTGCTGTTACTAACATTATAGTAATTATAATGTTTATAATAAAAATAACCATCGATATTCACTGTAATAGTAAAAATACATTTTCCCGCCAAATGAAATCAGGTAAGGCAGAGCCATCTAGTGTAGAAAAATTTCACAAAAAGTATAAAAATTGAGCACGGCATTTCCCCCCTTTTTTTCATTTTTACCCGGCGCGAATGGGTTAATATTTTTTTCTTTTCTTCAAGCTAAACATTTCCTTTTACTCTTTTCATTTTTATTTTTCTTTATACCGTCCATTTTCTCTTTTTAAATCCACCCATCTTCTCTTTAATTTCTACCCATTTTCTCATTTTAAACCCACCCCTTTTCTCTCTTTAAATCCACCCATTTTCCCTTTTTAAACCCACCCATTGTCGATCATTAAACCAACCCATTTTTATTTATTTTTTTTCAATCTACCCCTTTTTATTTATTTATTTATTTCACAAACTTTCCGTTTTCTCTATTCTCCTCCCGTTTTCTATTCTCCCGTCCCCGGTGTCTCATCCCTCCCTTTGTTTACTCTCGGATCCTCTCTGAGATTGCTATTGCCTTTGGTGGCCGTCCTCCCCTTTTTGCTTGACATGGATTTAGGTTTTATTTTTATTATTTTTTTTTCCTACCTGTTATCATTGTTTTTTATTGTTTGCTGTTGTTATTATGTTGTTTATGTGTCTGTGTATTCAACCACATATTCATAAATATAGATACTGTGTAGGAGAGAGAGAGAGAGAAAAAAAAAAAATTGGGTTTTATTTTTATTATAATATTTTTTCCTACCTGTTGTCATTGTTTTTTTTGTTGTTGTTGTTATGTTGTTTATGTGTCTGTGTATTCATCCACATATTCATAAATATTTATACTGTGTAGGAGAGAGAGAGAGAGAGAGAGAGAGAGAGGAGAGAGAGGAGAGAGAGGAGAGAGAGGAGAGAGAGAGAGAGAGAGAGAGAGAGAGAGAGAGAGAGAGAGAGAGAGAGAGAGAGAGAGAGAGAGAGAGAGAGAGAGAGAGAGAGGAGAGAGAGAGAGAGAGAGAGAGAGAGAGAGAGAGAGGAGAGAGAGAGAGAGAGAGAGAGAGAGAGAGAGAGAGAGAGAGAGAGAGAGAGAGAGAGGCATAGATAGGTAGATAAATAGCTAAATAGATAGGTAGATAGATAGACAGATGGATAAACAGATAAAAAGATAGATAGATAGAGAGATAGAGTGATAGATAGATAGATAGATAGAGAGAGAGAGAGAGAGAGAGAGAGAGAGGCATAGATAGATAGCTAAATAGGTAAATGGATAGGCAGATGGATAGATAGATAGAAAGATAGATAGATAGAGAGATAGACAGATAGCCAGAGAGAGGGAGAGAGAGAGTGAGAGAGAGAGAGGGATAGATAGATAGTTATATAAATGAATAGATAGACAGATTAAAAGATAGATGGATAGATAGATAGATAGATAGATAGGGAGAGAGAGAGAGAGAAGGAAAGAGGGAGAAAGACAGACAATCAGACAAACAAACAAACCAACAGTAAGACAAAGAAAGAAGTACAAAGGAACGAAAGTAAAGAAAAAAAAACAACAAAAACACGAAAGCCCACACGCGCTGTAATAATATTCAAATATGTTTACGGCACAAGTTCATAACCATTTTCTAATATAAAAAGAATATCCGCAGTCATAAAAAAACAGAAAAATAATACCCTCATATTTTTGTGTTTATTGGCGCGTTTAACTGTTTTATTATCTATTCTAATTCTCCGTAAAATGTGAACAACGATAATATTACGTTTTATCGCTATCTTTATCTCTTTTTTATTTTTTTTTATTTTTTTATATTTATTTTTTTTTTTTTTTTGACGATAAAAAAATGTACGTAAGAATTTATCATGCATGTTTTGTTTACTTTTTAAATTGTATTCTTTCTTAAGATAAGATAAAGATATGGAGTTTTATGGAGTTTGCACGGCTTTGGTTATTTTATTCATAAGGATAAGATAATGATGGTACTTATAAGAGAAAGAGAAAGATAAAAGAAAGATAAGGATGAAGATAATGATAAATTACAGCTTTGATAATTATCTTCCCTACGATAATTATCAAAGAATAGGAGGGATAAATTCGATAATAATTAGTAATTGGTGATAATAATATAGCAATCATAATCAGAAAAAAGGATGATGATTACGATAATAATAGTGATAATTTAGTTGATAATGATTATGACGATGACGAGTCATTAATGGTGTTGATGATAATAATTGAAGGTGATAATGGATATGATAATAAGTATGAATCTGATGATAGTGATGATTATGATGATGATGATAATGATAATAATAAGGCTAATACTAATGATAATGATGATAATAGTAATAATAATAATAATGATAATAAAAATAGTAATAATGATAATAATGATAAATAGTAATAATGATAATAATGATAAATAGTAATAATGATAATAATGATAAATTGTAATAATGATAATAATGATAAATAGTAATAATGATAATAATGATAAATAGTAATAATGATAATAGCCACAACAAGCACAATAATCTTTTAATAATCTTTAAGATCACTACCAGCAATTTCTCATCTATTGAAAGATCTTGCACACCGTCAGCAAAATTATTTCTTTCGTCGAATTTATTCAGAATTTCGCAAGATCTCAAATAAATCATTATTTTCTTTCTCTCTTTGTCCACATGTTTCTTCGTCTGCGCCTTTCGTCGACTGGCTCCTGGTCCTCCGTCCCCCCCCCCTCCTTTTCCTCTTTCTCTTTCTTCTCCTCTTTTCTCTTTTCCTATAACCCTTATCCTTCCTCGATCTTCTCTTCTCCTTGCTCCTCTTTTTTTTCTTTCTTCTCTTCCTTCTCCTCCCTCCTTCTCCATTTTTATTGCTTCTTCCTTATTCTCCTTTCCCTTGCTCCTCCTCTTCTCCCCACTTTCTTCTTGCTCCCTCCTTCTTCAACCTTATCTCCTCCCCCTCCTCCCCCTTTCATCCTTCTCCCTCCCCCCCTCCTCCTTCTCCCCCCCCCTCCTTCTCCCTCCTCCTCCTCCCTTCCCTTAACTCCCCTCTCCCCCTCCCCCCCGCTCTGGATGCCAAATGGATACCACGGACGGTGCCAAATGGATGCCAACACCCACTGCAGATTGATTAAAGGAGGCGAGGAAATGCGTCTTGTGAAACGAACGAAGACGGAGTACGGAGGCGGCCTCAGGGAACTTTCGCACACGGAGCTCGCCATATTCCAGGTGAGGTGGTGTTCGGATGCGTGTATTTTTCGCTTCGGTTTTGGGTTATGATATCCATGGTTGGGGGTTGAAGGTAATGCATGATTTCCTTTCCAATTAGAAGAATTGGGAGATAAATAGATAGATATAAGGATGGATAGATAAGTAAATATAAAGATGGATGGACAGACAGACAGGCAGAGAGACAGACAGACAGACTGACAGATGTATATATATATATATATATATATATATATATATATATATATATATATATATATATATATATATACATTGATAGATAGATAGATAGATAGATAGATAGATAGATAGATAGATAAATAGATAGATAGATAGGATTCATTGATACATAGCCGGGCAGACAGACACATGGTTAGATAGATAGATCAACTGACTGATATAAGAATAGTTAAATAGATAGATCGATAGATGAATACGCGACGTTTGGGTGTGGTTGCTTTCAAAGCGAGGGATGCAATATGAGAAATAATGTCCAAATATTGTATAAAAGCGATAAAACTAATGTGCAATCGTTGCATATGTTAATTAGCGAAGTGGTATCAAAGGGAAAAGCATTGAGGATAATCCCCAAATAGATATGTTAAAATTGATATAAAGCCCAAATAGATATGTTAAAATTGATATAATCCCCAAATAGATATGTTAAAATTGATAGTCTATTTTGCACACCCAGTTGATGAATTCTACTCATGAATATGTTCACCGATGTACTTATCTACACTTTACTGTTTACACCTAGAAATAGTCAGGAATAGGATCATAAATCAATATAAACATAGATGAATATCAGCACTTTTATGCTTAAAAGTATAACCTTCAGTGAATGTAAGCATGTTGTATGATAATAGAACCTATTTCGAATATACTCATCCAAAGGCAGAGTCAAAGGTATTATACCCATTTGGCTGAATATACTCAACACATAGCAAAACTTTACTCATCAGTGAATATTAAGAGTGAATGGAGTATCAATCTTTAACTGAATGTCCATCGAGAAAGAAACCGTTATTCTAGATATATATTGTTATAAGATCTTCACCTGAAAGAAAAATGAAAAAAAACAACAGAAAAAACACCACATACCACTAATTTTTAACTCCTAAAAAGAAACACACAAGAAACGAAGCAAAAAAAAAAAAAAAAAAAAATCAAATCAAGCTAACATATTTTTTCCCCAATTTTTCGCCTTCCTTTTTATCCAATTTACTCGACAAAAAGAAAGACAAACTGGCTTGTTCCATTTCTTCATATCCGGTAATCCAGTAATCCAATAACGAATGATTGCCTTCCGTTCGGGTTTCGGCTGAAGAACGAGACAAAACGATATTATTAGTGTTTTCGTTCACGAGGCCTTTAGACGTGGCAGGGAATATACCTTTGCGGTTGTGAGTTTATATTCATCGACGACGGGGGTTTATGTGTGCCATTACATGTGTTGGTGTATATTGTATGTGTGTGTGTTTACGTGTGTATGGACGTGTGTGTTTGTGTATACACGAATGTTCATACCTACCTGCATATAGAGATACATAGATAAACACACACACACACACACACACACACACACACACACACACACACACACACACACACACACACACACACACATACACACACACACACACACACACACACACACACACACACACACACACACACACACACACACACACACACACACACACACTGTGTGTGTGTATGTGTGTGTGTATATATATATATATATATATATATATATATATATATATATATATATATATATATATATACATATATATATATATATATATATATATATATATATATATATATATATATATATATATATATATATATATATATATATATAATGCACACGTCTATACCTATACATGTACACTAAAGTAAACATAAACATATCTAAAAAAGTAAATTCTGAAGGGCTAATTTGTGACCTGAACTAAATATCACTGCGACATCTCAGCCTCCACAATCCGCACCCAGGGAACAGTTCTGCAGTTAGAACATTTCTCCTTAAAAAAAAGAAATCAAAGAAAGAAAGAAATAAAGAAATAAAGAACAGACTGAAGTGAAAATGTTTCTTATAAAAAACAGTTAACAAGATTTTACGTGTTATTTTTACTTGCAGGAGCTTTTGCCCTTACCCAAAGGTGCAGTAAATATCTTTAACTTTCCCAGTTTAGTGTCTTATATTGCTGGGTACATACGCAAGATTTTTTTTTTTTTAGATGTGTATGTGCACGTGTTTGGTATGTCTACCTTTTTTGTATGTTTCTGTTTTTACGTACATGAGCATCTATATTAGATGTTTATGTACGTAATTATATATATATATATATATATATATATATATATATATATATATATATATATATA